TCCTCTATTTGGTAATTATTTCAAGTACACTCAGATTTGCTGAATTTCCACAGCCAGGCAGGCACATTTGCAGCATGGTGTTAATAAACAAAAAGGTCCTGTGATGCACAGTTTGGGGACTGCACGAGGCAGTCGCTTAGGGTTGGCAGCCGTCCTTTCTGGGTACCCATCCTGGAAGTGCTGAGAAGTCCTCCTCGACACACAGCAGACATTGCAGCACGGGGCAAGACGGTGACTCAGCAAGGCAGATTTCTGGGGTGTTTTCAGCCACCTTTGGCTCCCACCGAAGGCAGAATCCAGTAGAAGGTTGCTGTGGTGACTATTTTCAAAGCTCTGCCTGGAATTCATTTTAGCTACCAAGAGAAACTGTCTGTCACTCCATGGCTACCACCGCCCACAAGAGCTTCATTCTGCTGCGAGACTGAAGCTGTGAGTGAACGGTTCTCTGCAGACAATAGAGGCCATGGTCTACTGTTTATACCAAATAAAATCGTCTTGGTTTCCAAAGTTCTTAATCTACATCTACTTTGGCCTTAAAGATGTTGTTTGGCACAGGTTTTGCTGGACACAAAAGTGAGGTTGGAGTTCTGTAGCCTAGCACAGAGCAAGTTACAAGTGAAATCCAACTTTGGCTAGATCTGATTTTCTCTAAATAACTACGGCATGTTTGGTGTGTTGTTTTTTTAAACAAAAAATAATAGTAGAGCAAAGAGGCATGCATCCTTGAACTTCTTTCCTTTCTTTCCCCTCCCCATCAATCTTGCTTGTTACTGATACGCTGGGGAATGCATATCTGGTACTTGGGATACATCCTGGTAAAACATTACCCTAATGTGCTTTTGTAGCAGCAGCAACATAATGAGATGGCTTCTGTAAAAAAAGCTAATCTCAAAAGTTAGGCCAGTCCAGGGCCAGGCAGACTAACTCTTCAAGTCCCTGAAGATACTCAAGATTTTAATTCCTGACTTAGTTGCCTGTATCCTGTTTTATTCCTCCTTTTGCTTTAATCCCTATTTATTTTTTCTCCTCCCCTTTTCCTCATCCTTGCCCCTAAGTGTTCCTCAGCTTTATATATTGCGTTTCCCTTGGCATGCCAACAGTCTGCTGATGAATACCACTTGTTCGAAAGTCGCATGCAAGATTTCTTTTTGTGTGAGCGTTTTATATGAAATCCAAGTGAGCGAGTATTTAGAACTTGCTTGTGACTTCAAGCCCAAGTTTTTAGTAGTGTGCATACGATATTTGCAGTATATATCAGAAATACTCTTAGAGAACTACATTAAAATTGCCTGTGCATTTGGAGCATTGCTTACTGGTTTGGATGTATCCAGAGGGAAAATATCTGAAGGATAGATTTAAAAAGCAGGGAACAGCTTTTTGTAAAGATGAAAGCTATTAATCACTGGAACGAATGATCTCAAGTAGATGATCTCCACCATCCAAGTTTTTAATTCAACAAAGGATGCTTTTCTAGAGCAGAAGCAGTATTTAGCATTGCTTGGTCTTCGTTGCAGAGCAGACCAGATGGTTGATATTTTTTGCTCTCAGTCTCTTCCTCCGTAGGTCTTACCATTTCCCCTTGCAAGCCCAGCTCTGATCATTGTAGCGCACCCATTGTGAATTGCCGTGTTGATGCTGGAGATGTCCTCTGCTGGCCTGCCCCATGTTTCACACACTTGAAATCTCTTCACCATTGGAAGTACCTCAATTTTGCAGTCATGCGACAGTTTCTTTTGCAACTTTCCCTGAATGTCTGGAAGCAGCA